TAATAGTATTAGTATTAGTATTAGTATTAGTATTAGTATTAGTATTAGTAATAGTATTAGTATTAGTATTAGTATTAGTATTAGTATTAGTACTAGTATTAGTATTAGTATTAGTATTAGTACGAGTGTTAGTACGAGTGTTAGTACTAGCATTAGTCTTAATATTAGTATGTGTTGCAATAGTAATATCAGTATCAGTAATAATATTAGTAGTAACGTTAGTATTAGTACTAGTATTAGTATTAGTAGTAGTATTAGTGGCAGCAATAGTGTCTGTGGTAATGTTAGTACTAGTATTAGTCATTGTTAGCTTTAGTTTTAGGTTTCCTATTAGTTTTAGTAGTAGCACCCGTACTCATAATAGTATTACCATTAGCATTAGTGTTAGTATTAGTATGAGTAATAATGTTACTATTAGTATTAGTTGTAATAATAGTACGATTACTATTAATATGTTGTCATTAGTATTCCTAGAAGTACTGTTACTGATATTGTTATTGATACTCGCATTACCAGCAACACCCTTATCAGTCGTAGTCATCGCTCTTGCTATTCCTCTTATAACACTCGCCTTATTCTTGTTACTAGCACCTGTATTACCTTTATTAGTATGGCGGTTAAGTGTTATTCGTATTTTCTGACTATTCGTATTGGTAGTATTGGTTGAACTACTATGGTTAACAAGCTTCTTCTTATCAAAACTACCGGTTTCCGTACAACTATGGTTTTAATTATATTAGTAGTGGTATTGGTACTACTATCACTATTGCAATTGTTACCAGTATGCTTGCTGCTACGGATATTAGTATTAACATTAGTATTAGCACTATTCTTCTTAGTATTGTTACTAGTCGCATCATTCTTAACAATATCACTATTACGATTAAGCAAACTAGTAGAATTCGTACCATCATTATCATGATTGCTCTCATTATTCGTAATATCATTATTAATATTCTGCTTATTCGTATGAGTGGTAGTCGTAGGGTTCGTCTTCTTGTCGGTACTCGCAGTAGTCGTCGTATTGTTCGTCTTCTTATCACTAGCACTCAGACTCTTATACTTAGTATTAAAAGTAGTATTACGACTGTGCTTATTAGTACGAGTAATACAGGATAAGATTCGCGCTATTCTTCTTACCAATACTATTCTTAGCACTCGTGAAATTAGCATGACTATTCGGATTTGTCTAGTACGTATCGACTTCTTACTACTAAGAGTGGTATTGTTCTGTTCATTACTACTATTATGCTTGGTTTCTTATTAGTACGCATTATTACTATTGAACCTAGAATCAACATTGAGATTCCTAGTATTCCTCCTCCTCCTCCTCATCTTCCGCCTCCTCCTTCTCCTCGTCCACCTCCTCCTCGTCCACCTCCTCCTCCTCTTCCTCCTCCTCCTCCTTCCTCCTCGTCCTCCCCCTCCTCCTCCTGCTCCTCCTCCTCCTCCTCCTCCCCTCCCTCCTCCTTCTCCTCTTCCTCCTTCCTCCTCCTCCTCCTCCTCCTCCTCCTCTTCCTCCTCCTCCTCCTCCTCATCTCTCCTCTCCTCATCCTCCTCCTCCTCCTCCTCCTCCTCCTCCTCCTCCGCCTCCGCCTCATCCTCCTCCTCCTCCTCCTCCTCCTCCTCTTCCTCCTCCTTTTCCTCCTCCTCCTCCTCCCCCCCAAAACCAGAGTCGGGCAAAACATGAGAGTACAAACCCGACGTGTCTAGCTGATGCTCTGGGGGGGACCTTTGCTCACGGGAGGCTGCAGCACCACTCAACGATGTGCTACTTAACCAAACCTGCAGGGCGGGTTTCTTCCCAAATTCTTGCTTCGGTGCGGATCGTCTGCGCGCCTCGTCTGCATCGTCGTCGTCGTTGCTGTCGGCGTCGTGGTCGTGGTGCGTGTTGCTTTGCTCGGGACTCGTTTCCCTCATGATGTGACCACCCAGTTGGATTGCCAGACATTGCACACCGCCTGGCTGTCCGTTTGTCAGTCCGTTCGTCTGTTTGTCTGTTTTCCTGGCTCTCTGGGCCGCCGCGCTTTGAGCTCCTTGGCTGAGGGACGCGTCGGCCACCACCGCCCTCTCCCTTGTCGGTGGCACTGACGAGGTTGGGAAAGAGGGTGCCGAAACGCGCACAGAGTCCAGCAAGGCATGAGGGTGCAAACCCGACGTGTCTGGCTGATGCTCTGGGAGGGGCCTGTGCTCAGAGGGGGCTGCAGCACCACTCAACGACGCGCTGTTTTACCCAAACTGCAGTAGGCCCGTTCCCAAATCCGTGCTTCGGTGCGGATCGTCTGCGCACGTCGTCTCCGTCGTCGTCGTCACTGTCGTCGGCTGTCGTCGGCGTCGTCGTGGTCGTGGTGCGCGCTGCTCTGCTCAGGACGTGTTTCCCTTACGCAGTGACCACCCACTTGGATGACCAAGCATTGCACGCCGCCTGGCCGTCCGTTTGTCCGTCCGTTCGTCTGCCTGTCTGTCTGTCTCCCCGGCTCTCTGAGCCGCGGCGCTTTGAGCTTTTTAGCAGGGGGACGCGTCGGCCACCGAC